ATACAACATATACCTCTGTGAACGTGCCAGATACTACAAGCGAGTGTCGATTTTTTTCTATTGTCTAAAACTAACTCATTTGAGAAACCGATATAGAGTTGAAATAAGCAAGTCAAAATAGATTTACAGAGAACACAAATTATTGTCTTGTTAATTAAAATTCAAGTAAAATTTTAGAATAAAATTTTTTTTTTAAATATTTATAGAAATCTAATATTGTATAATTTATGTAGACGTAACCTGTAACCATCTCACAAAATAAGTTTAAAATAGATAAAAAAAAACAAACAAAGCAAATTAGATAATTTTAATACTTAGATAATCTAGGGTAGAAAAGAACCAATTTTAAAATTTAAATACTTAAACTTTGATCAATAAATATCTTCTATTTTTTCAGTAAATCTAGATACAACTTTAAAACTAACTAAATAAAACAATGCATACGCTTCTAGTTTTACACTATACTTACTAACATAGATTAAATGCACTAGCTTGCAACATCAAAACACTCAGAATTGTTAAATATAAGTATGATTTAGTTTGTTTTAATTTTTCGGAATAAATTTTATTCAATACTTTATATAAAATAAATTATATAAAATAATAAATTATATAAAATAATGCTTACATGAATTATTTAATATTATAAACATTTCTAAATTTAAAAGTAAAATCTTTGTTTTAAATTTTGATAAATTTCTTTGTTATTTCACTGAAGTATTTAAAAAATGGACTACAAAGCAAGGAAATAAAAGTAAAAACAACCTAAATAAAGCACAAATAAAATTACAGAAAATAAAAATATAAGTTGTGTTTTAAGCGCGTTGTTTTTGCTTTATTCTACAGGGCACAAACTATACCATATCCTTATTTGCGTACAAAATAAGAGTTTAATACTTTTATAAAAATAATGATATTATTGTTATCCAGGGAAGATTTCCGCCTCGTGATCTGTAGCAGAATGATCACCAAGTCTTGGCAACTCCCAGGCAGATGACCGCGAGAAACTGAAGAAGAAAATATCAGAGAAAGGGGCCAACTCGAAAGGTATAACTCATAGCCATTCCCAGGCAAACATCTTGGCTAATTGTATTTGGCGTTACAGATCACGATACGGAAATATAGCATGTATCCAAATCTTCATAGGCCATATAATCAACATATCTACAACCCAAAAAGTAAAGGCAATTTTCAGGTCTTTACAAAATTATAGCTGCTTCAATTTATTTTTAAGTTTTATTTATTATTTTAGCATCCTACCGAATATATAAATAACTTACACCCTCTATTACTTCACTTATTTTATAGTGAACACATGCAATAAAAAAATTTCATGTTACTTTTGTGAAAATGTGTGTTTTTTAAAAAAAAGTGTAACATTGTATCAATAAAATATTTCATAAAAAAAATCGCCTTATTTTAAATCCACTTTTCATAAACAATGTTTTTGCAAATACTTTCATAAACATAATTCTTTTCAGAAAAAAATTTCAACAAGCATTATTTATCAGAAAAAGAAAATACCAGAAAGAACAACAATTAATTTGGAGGCACAAATTTAAAGTCTACACAAACAAATAATGTAGAAATCTAAGAATAAATATTTGAAATTTTAGAAATTAAATATAAATTAAGTTCTTAGTAAAAATATTTAAAGTTATAGTGAAACTAGACGAAACATGAAACAATTTTAAAGACCGATTTTTCCTTTTTGAAAATAAAACTTTTCACACAAATATAGAATAAAATGAACAAATATAGAATAAAATGAAAGAACTTACAAGGCTTTACCAAATAAACTATCCGTTCTATAATTTACAAGATACGTAGCGCTCTGAGCAACAATTTATAAAATAAACAAAGTAATTCATTTAAGAATATTCGATTTTTATCTTTACTTGAAGAAAACTACCCCTTGCAGCAAAATAAAAAGTTCATACTTTTGTTGTACACCATAAAACTTTGTATTGCATGAATTTATAATGCAGAAATTAAATAATTTACATCTAAAAGCAAGAAGAATAAAAATTACAAGCTAGCAGAAAACTTAAAATTTACAGCAAACAAAAACAACTTGTTGCCAAACAAATTCATTTTAAATAAACTACCCAGTCAACAGTTAAGAAAAATCCTATAGATTAAAAAAAAAATAATAATAAAGTGGCATTCTTACGAAACAAAGTATTCAACGCAAATGCGTTTTTAAGCTTCTAGAAAATAACTGATTTAAGAATCATGACGTCAAAACCACGTGATCTCGGTAACATTGCCGCGTAAGATGACGAGGTGTAACATAAATTTCTGATGTGGTTTTCTTTTTGTTTAATATAGATTATCTGCAAAAAAAAAATATTCTTTTTTTAATTATCCACTCACTTCCATTTCTCTTTGGTCACGTATTAAATATGCCATATTCTCAAACGAGAATCTTCTAAAAAAAACACAGTCAAACCCCTCTATAGTGAACTAGGCTTATAGTAAACTCCCGGATATAGTGAACGAAAAAAGGAAGGAAGTTGGATAATATGAACTTTTCTCTGTTTTCGAGAGATTTTCTTCATTTTTTTGTAATAAATTTGGATAATTGGGTATAATATAGCCTACGTCACAGGTTGTGTTGTTCCTACTAAATTTAACAAATGAACGGCATTTTCTGCGAGCCTAACTTCAAGCCACAAATAAACAAACGAAGTGTTCGATCGTTTAAATAGCTGCTCGCCAGATTTTATTGCATTATAAAGAAAAGTTATTGAAACTAAATAAACAACAACAACTAAAACAAATAACAACAACTACTAATAACAATAACTAAATAAGCAACAACTAAATTCCATTCGTTTAGCATTGCGTCATATGTTGTTCCTACTAAATCGAAGTAGTTGTGTTTTTTTCATATTATACCCAATTCAAATAAATACATATACCGACTTTTAAAACCATCTATTGCATGGCATGTAGCAACAAGCATTTTTTCGTGTTTGCTTCATTGTTAAATAGCATTATTGAATTGGTTCAGCATTCAAAGAAGTCGCAATTTTCCAGTATCTGGACAAATGCTTCAAAGCAGAGAATTTGCTCAGCAATTTGGTGAGACTACTTTTCTGTGCTCGATTGGCTGGTTATAGACAGGTTCAAAAAGCGGAATAACATAATTTCAGGAAAAATTATCTTAGAGTCTGGAAGTGCTTCCATATCCGATGTTAAAGATTGCTCATCAAATAAAGATTACTAATTTTTTTTTTTTTTAATTTTTTTTTTTTTTTTTGCTTGCAGAAGAATTTGCATAAAGAAATGAAAGTTTATAAATTTTTTGTTACTATTTGTATTATTTTTCAGGCATTTTTGTATTTCATTTCATTAGTCATTTATTTAAATAATGTGGAAGAAAAGGGGGGATTGGAACTATTAGTTAAAACTAGGAGGCTCCGCCCCCTGCTCGCTAACGCTCGCCAACCCCCGAGAATTGCTACGCAATCCTATGTGGTTCACGCCGTGAACCATGGCTCGCTGCGCTCGCTCGCCAATGAACACAATGTTCTAGCACAAAGACATAATATATTATCATCAAAGACATAGTATTTTATCATCAAAGACATAGTATTGTACTTATGTAGAAGAATTTTATCAATGTTCTTATTGGCTTTTAAAAAAGTATATTAGCTATTTAGATTGTACATGGTGAAAAAATCAAAACATTAGCTAAATAAGAAACATATTAGCAAAATAAATTATCAAATATTGCTTCAATAAACGCGAAATATAAAAAAATTCAATGCATTCAATACAAACACTTAAACGCTTTTTAGACGTTAAGGTAGCTCCCAGTAGAAAAATATCAATTGAACAGCGGCCTTTTAAAGCATTCTCACTTCAATTAATTAATTAATTCCTAATTGAGTTTAAATTAAATATTGTCATGTTTTTAGTGCATGAATCTGAATTGAACAACCTGATAATGCTCACTCTGGTTATTGTTATCTGGTTGCTCACTACGTGCTCTTGCGCGCCGGATCCAATCAATTAAAAATGAAAACTGTTGCCAGCGCGAGAAAAGAAATATCATCGGTTTTATTGATACCTACATACATACGTACGTGTTAGCGTTTTATATAATATAGATAGATAGATTGTTGTCGGATGCAGTAAAGTCCCGGTTATAGTAAACCGAAATTATGGCCCCTTAAAAGTTCACTATAGCGGGGTTTGACTGTATAAAAAGTTCTATATCTTTTTTTGAAAGTGGTGAAACAAATATTTTTTTAATGGATTTATCTTAATAAGAGTTCATAAATTTATATGTTCTCAAAAATCTATAATTATTTTACAGAACAAGTAAATTACAAGCTTCCTTTTTAATTTATTATTTAAGATAGGAGAACCCAAAACACAAAGAGGTACAGATTACACAAGCGAACAGAATTGCGACGCTTGTATCAAATACGAGTTGGAAGACAAAATTTGATATTAAAAAATACATATCTTAAAAAAAAATGAAAGAAATATTTTTTATACAGTGAAAACGCTTCCCAACGAACACATATTTTTGTTAACGATGATCGCTTGGAATTTCGTAAATATAACAGACCTAATTATGAACCAATCTTCTACTTAAGCTTTCAAATATTTACTAAAAATTCTGGACTTATCTTCGGAAATAAACATTGCTGTTTTTTAATGCCTTGCTGTAGAAAGTCGCTATCAATCAAATGCGTATTTCCATGTAAAAACTTATTATGAAATGTACGAATACTGCCAAGCTCAATAAACAAAAATGAAACTACACAACAAATTATAAGATACATACATAGTTTTATTAAATTGATAATGTTATACGCATTCCTTACAAAATATGAAAATATATATACAATTTAATAATGATAATACAACTAAAACTTTTGCTCAAGAAAAAGTTTCTTATAATAGACTTTGATTCAATTTGAAATTTACAATTTTAATTTGCATTTAAAGAATTTATTTTTTATAAACGAATTAAAAGCTTGATATGTTATCCAATTTTTACACAATTTTAACTTTTTTCCAGAGCAATATATTAGATTAAATTTTGAGACAAATGCAATTATTCTTCGATAAAATGTTCCGTTTAATGGTCCGAAATTTGTAATTACGATTAATTTGAATAATTTTCACTTTTCATCATTAGAAAATTTTGCACTATGTGATGTTTTCCTCCTGTTGCCATTAGAGAACAAAGAGATGTTTCAGAAAAAGTTTTGAAGTCCTGTTTGTCGCTGCATTGATACATTCTGTCGAGCGAGACCGTAGACAGATATGAAGAAGGTGGGAAAAACTTGCAAAATGAATAAAGATGGTTTCAAAATGAACTGTTTGTAAAGAGATGGGCTGAAAGAGAAAGGGAGGGAAAAATCAAAATCCATTTTCTGGATTGGCGATCGAAATGGTCTACAGGTGGCACATAGCCGGAAGTCTTTACCTATGGTACCTCTATAGGTATGCTTTTGCCATTAGCATGTGGATAGTCAAAGAAGTAACCTTAATTTCTCTCTTGATTTTCAAACTGACTAAAACATTTTTAGCTTGGAAACTATATAGATTTTAAAACAGCATTAAACATAGTGTTTAAAGTAAGCATAGTGGAAATTTTAAAATATAGTTTTGGAAATCTAAATGAAAAAATTATTATGAAAGGGGGAACATGGTAATAGATATAGAGCAGAGGAGGAGAAAAGAAAAAAGCCATGTAAACGAATCTTCTCCCCAGAAGGCGTATTCGAGTGTTGCGATCGCGAATTAAATATTTCGGTTGAGTTATATAGCATTAATGAAAAAGGTGATCTTTAGAGTAAACAGTTTTAAAAATGGTATAAATCTAAGCTGACCAAGACTGGACTTCCAAACAAAACACTAGTGGAAATAAAGCTTTCTCGGTTGACGCATCCGCTTGACATCATATTGTCCACTATTTTAAATTTTGGTATTCTGAATACAGGTTTCAGTGCAGTAGAAAAAGTCCATAATCTGTTTTTTAAAGTGAGTAGGAGTGAAGATTTTTCTCGCTTATCAGCCAATGAAAATGCTCGAAACACTTTGAAGCAATCTCTCAAACTATTGACAGCACAAGATATAGAAACCATTTTGATTTTCGTTTCATTTGTATTTCTTGTACTATTATTTTTGTTGAACTAAATTTATAATGAGTGGAATATTCAGAGTAAAACAAAACATACGTAGCGTAAGATTAATTTCTGCGTGACATCAGTAAATTAGAATTTTGAAAGAACTTTGATATCACTTTGACTTATTTTTATATATTTATTTACTTACTTATTTATTTATTTAAATTTTAAAGATAAACTTTGCCTGGTGTCGCATACTATCATATGAATTGCTTATGACGGTGCTTTCCTGTTCAAAGCAATAATATATATTGCACGATCCTCACGTTATGGCTCGAGTGGTGCGTGAGGAAGTAGTACAGTACGTAACGGTGCATTGGAAAAAGTTTTCTATCTTATTTCACGAATGGAGATTGAAGTATTTTTAATACTTCTGCTTCCTACTATGATGAATTATCCCAGACTCAAAATTACGGGGGCTTGTGTGGTTTAATGACTGCTGGGTAAACTTTAAATTATTACTAAAATTCAGTGCAAAAAGAACTTTGACAGTATCGCAGACAACTCTTGAAAATAGTTAAAATTAAAATTATAATCAAACGCCGCAAAACCACTGGCAAAAGCTACACAGCGACGAATTTGGTTAGTTATTAGAAATAGTTCCTATTTCATTTTTAAATAAAGAAAACAGTTTTTCAAGCAAAAAAGAAGAAAAAAAAGAAAGAAACAAAAAACTGACATTTCAAGTTTGAAAAAGGAAAGCTGTAGTACAGAAATCGCTTTATGCTTAAAATACAAAGCATGGCAGAATGAAATAGCCATACGTCACAGAATGCGTTGCTGGGAAACCCAATCAGCGAGCTCAAAATCTTTCTTTACAAACTGTGGATGTAAGGGTAGATAACATGAGTCCGGAAACCATCCCTGAAGATGGTCCGAAGACAAGACATCACAATTTTGACCCTCTGTGAAAAGGATGGCTTCTCCGTTTTAGTAGTCTATCCATGAATGAAAGCGAGACAGAAAAGAGGAAAAGTTGGTAGTAAACTCACTTCAGTTTTAGCATGTTTTCGGGAGGAGTTAAACTATTCTCTTTTTTAATTATTCAGCGATATCTACTTTTCTATAACGAAATAAGCTGTTTTATATACACGCTAAAATTGTTTGAAAAATTATGGTAGTTAGAGAAATTTAATGTTTCTTGAAAAAAATGTTAGAATGAAATGCCTTTCGTACCAGTTTTTGCTCTTTTCCGTCTTGCTATATATAGGCTTTCAGCCCTGAGTCTAACGACCACCTCGCAACGTCGAGCACTTCACGGTAATTGTTTGAGGAGCACCATCCTTTGTTGTATAGTTGTCGTATTATATGTACTTTCTGTCACTTAATTTCATACCTAAGGCTATTTATAATTAAAAGTGAACACTAGTTTACGTGCAGCATTGATTAGAAAACTACAATACTCACATCATATCGAAGTTGTCTTGAAGTGCAACTGCAAAATGTAACAAATCCAGGGGGTCATTGGTGTAGAATTTATTCGTCAGTTTGCACATGTATGTTATCAGCCACGGGTAAACAAAAGAGGTCTGAAAATTAAATATATATATTTAAAAATAATAAAAATCAAAGAAATTTAAGTCTAATATCCAACGTTATTTTGTGAAAACTTAAACAATAATTTCATAAAAACTAAATTAGAAAGCGGAAAAATAGTTTTTGAGATTTCGATGGAGCGAAGCTGAAACATTTGGTTTCCGAGAAACCATGATGCAAGTTATGTTGGCTTTTAAAAGCCATTTTCTATTTTTGATGTTTTTAACTTTATCATGTTTATGATAGAATATCAGCAGATTAAAAAAAGAGGGGGAAAGTGATACACAAAAACATTGTTTAGTTAGATTGTGGAAAAAATTACCTTGTGTTGGTCACAGAGATCCTAAAAGATAATAGATAAGTTATAAAGATTGATAAAAAAAAATTTCAATTCTTTCCTTTTTTTTAAGAGAAGCAATAATGGAGCGTGTGCCAAAAAATGTAAAGAGTGGTGGAAGAAAACTAGCGGTAATCAATTAAAAAAGGCTAAATTCGAAAATTTTCTCAATTCTATCAGTTTGATATTCAAAAGTATTCAATGATCCCACGTGCGTCTAAGCCATTGATCTTCCTAAAACAGGAAGAAATTTAGAAAGCTTCCGGTGTATCACTCCGCTTATGGTATGCTTACGAGACGATGTGTGAACAGGCTTAATATTCTAGGAAGTTTTATTATTGTAATTTGTGTTTAAATTTTCACGTAATTTTACCATGCATAAGAGTTCTCTGCAATTTACAACTTTTAACTGGTTGTGAACCTAAGACAAGTTTAAGAAATTTAATATCAGAACATAAACAAAGTGTAAGGTTTGCTATATTTTGAGTGCTATCGCTTATTTGGCTGTAATTGTGCAACATATCATCGGTTGTGATTTTTTGGGTTGCATCATGCATACTTGCGTAGTTTTCCGAATAAATTTGTTGCTTGTTTCATTGAAATTTAAATTGAAAGAACACGTTATTTTTTACACTACAAATATGATAATATTGGATGGATTAGGCGTAAAAATAAATCGGAAGTAGTAACGCGATAGTTTTACGATGCATTTTAACCTCCAGCGCCATCTGTATTTAGCTTTACATGTTCAACCATCCATATGCAATAAGCTAAGACTGCATCAATCATGCAGTCGTATCAAATTATGTCTGCATCAATTTACCAATCAAATTTGACTCAAAATAAACGCTTAGTTTAAAGAAATGAATTTTAGAAGTGAAAAAACAAAGAGCAAGTAAACAGAATTCTTTATAGTACATATATTTAAAGTGAATAATTTCAACTTCCATAAATCAACAATTAGCACGTAGCAATCAACGGGATTGGTGAGCAGTAGCGAAGAGAGAGCTTCGTATCTTAGTAAATAAATAACAAAAAAATGTGAGAAGCTATGGCATTGGTTTATTGGTTTCATAACATTAGCATAAAAACTGCTTAGCTTTTAAGATTGGATTTCGGACATAATTTTAATGAAATAGAATTATACGGATAATAATTTAATATTGTACTTTTGTTTGCTATAGAGTTTTCTAAATTTATTCTTTGTTCAAATTAAAATGTGTTGATATAATTTTGTCAGGGGAAAAAAACTGTTGATAGTGCGAGGATCGAGATTTATCCAACAATAATTTCGTGGGGGCAAAACATGAATCATGAATTTAATTATGGAGATTAAATACCTGCTATTAAAAGTAAACTTATTCTTATGCACCATCCACAACCCTCAGATAGTTACGCTTTTTGTTTTATCTTAACATTTTGAAGTTATGTTTAACCGTCAACCTTTTTAGTCCTAGTCGAAGTTAGTCTATACAAATTTTACGACACGTAAAGTTTTTATTTGCCTCCTTAATCTAATTTAAATGTTAAAAATTAATATTTATTTTTTAACTGAAAATGATTAAATAAAATAGTTTTTTTTTGCTCCTATGAATTGCAGGAAATAGTCTAAATAATTTTGCACAAATCCACCGTTTCTTTCCCCGCAATTATTATTTTAGTTTACGAAACATTTGGTAAATGTATACCTCTTTATACAAAAAATATCTTTAAATAAAAATAGTTTTATTTACATTTAACAATAACTCTGTAAAAAAAATTATAATTTCTGATATTACTGGTGTAAAAGTGATTTTTTGCATTTTAAAACCTTCCTACTTACCCAGCGCTTTGCTTCTGAACAACATTTTCTAAACTCTTCGATTTCTTCCGAATCCTTACTGAAAAATAATAATTTGTGTTTTAGAAATATTTAAAAAAAAACATGCTGTGATGAAAATAAGAATGTGATCTGATGAAAAGATTATATCTCTTATTTTCCCGATTTTTGAAATTTTCTGTCCAACCAATCTTTATTTTTAATGTTATCTTTCTTTTTTCCCTTGTTTTCTCTAAATTTTGAACTATATATATATATATATATATGANTATATATATATATATCCCGATTCCATAAAAAATGGGGGGAAACATAACTAGGAGAGTTAAGGAGTTATCAAGTTAAAATAATAATTGTTATAATTATTACTATTCTCAATTTTGGTGTCGAATGGCTTGCCAAACACCAGGTGAGATATCTGGCATTGTTTGCCCTTTGAGTTTCACAAAGGTAGCAGCGTAACAGTTAAAAAAAAATTTGAAACTTATACAAGTGTATTTGACATTCGTAAGGTCCAAATGTGGTTTTCTAAATTAAAATTCGATAATTTCGACTTTTCTGATAAATATCGAGCAAGAAGACCAAAACAAAGGAGGGGGGGGGAGGAGGAAATAATTATTTCGTTTGTGAGGTTCTGTCTCACCCACTATAATTGCCCGATGTTGTTACAGTTGATTTCCATTTATTACCATCCCTACTACATTTTCAAAGGGGCAAAGAATTTGAAAATTTTGACAGTGTCAAAAATGCCTAAAAAAACAGACTTTGATCGATCCTGCATTAAAAATTTGCTTAGAATATACAAAAAGGTGTTGGATAATGAGGGTGATTACATCATTGAATTAAAGAAAACTTGTTAAACATTTATCCACCCGAAATTAATGTTAAAAAAAACATTACTTTTCTGTCTCCCTAATATAACATAACACATAGAACGGTGTGTAAATCACTTTTTGATGATCTATATCTTTGCAATGTGTGTATACATTGTCACTTAAAAAAAATTAATGAATAATGTATGTTTATAAAAAATACATCGTTTTCTCTGATTAAGATTATTTTGTCACGAGAATCCATAATTTATAGAAGAAAGTATTGAGAGAAGATGCGATTATTTTTTTCCTTAAAAATCGCGTGTTCTGTGCACATAAGAAGCTAGGCTATTAGTTGAAACCATAATTGGTCTTACATGATTCTGAATTTTTGAGCAAGTGCCTATTTCAAATTCAAGTAAATGATGATAAAATGATCAGACAATATTTCATGGCGCTTCAAATATCGTTCAAACACCAGTTTCGAGTTCGAAAACACACAATCGGGAAAAAGTTTTAGATTTCGGTAGAAACAATTAACGTGACTAAAAAAAATCCAGAATATCAGGGGGGGGGGAAAGTGGAAAAAGAGAAACCTGTTATAAGTATTTATTATTAGGAAATCAGGACAGCTTACAACCTCTGTAAAAATATTTTAGAATATTATTTTTTAAAGTGATCACATATTGTACTTTAATATTCAAAAGAATATTTTAACAATGATTCAAGTTGTTTCAACAATGCCTTAAATGTACGCTTTTTAAAGATATTCACAGACATAACAGAAACAATAAGGGTTTTTCTTTAATTGTGGCAGGTACAACAACCCTTTACACTCCGAGTACTTTAAAATACTGTTTGAACCAATATAAGCCCTAAATCATTTAGAATACTGGTCTGGTCTAGTAAAAGTAACTGGGCAACTGAAGCCAAAATTGGCCCTTTTCCCTATCGTGTATTGGTGGACATCTGTAAAAAAGTGATAACATGGCTGAAACACAAATGGCAAATTATAGAGTAAAGGGAGAGAATAGCACAATGCCATGTTAATAACTAAAATATAACATGAAATTATGATTATAATTATATGCAAAATTACAAATAGAAAAACAAGTAGAAAATATTTACAAAAGTATTTAGTAATGAGAAAGCAAATAGATCATAAACACAAGTTAAATAAAAACGAAATATTTGCAAAATAATAAATTACAAATGAGTCAATCAATTTGTAATAGCAAATAAATTGTACTAATAGTGAAATTAAAATAATTAAATTGTGTACCTCTGTTAAAGTAGGGTCGTCCTGGTAATTACCACCCGTGCCGGGTTGCTCCCTACACTGAAATCTCACTTAGAATACTTACTTCAGCATTTCGCAAAATTTTTTAAAATTCTTAAAATAATATGGTTATAATTATTAATGTCTAAAAATTTTTGGTTTCAGAGTGGTGACTGTTGATGACACCTCCGAAGCGATATAGGAGTGCAAAGGGTTAAAAAAAAAATCATTACTTTAAAAGGGTGCTTTGCTGTTAGGTAAGCAGCCAAATGGGCCACTATTTGCAGTACATACGATTATTGTTTTTTATTTCCACGGTATTTTGCCTCTGAGAAAGGAAGGCAAAATTCCATATTTTTAGTTGTTTTTTTACCGTATTAATAGGGTAGGTGGAGTTTTTTGAATTTTTTTAGTTTAATCCTTACTTGAACATCAAATATCGAACGAAAATTTGAATCAGACAGAGCATGAGCAAAGCGTGACCTCTGACAGTTTATTCAAAGGAAAACGACATAAATATCGTGAGAGGTACACGGATCATGGATTGGACTCCCCACGCCGTCAAGCTAACAGTGGGAGGTTTCCGTGATTTTCCTCACCATGTAGCTTAAATGCGGGTTAGTTTGATCAAACAGGAAAATTTCTTCCAGTACTTAATCCATGAGTTCCATTGTCTTCTGAATTAGGTTCAAAATAGAAGGATACAGAGTTGAACATGGGTTTCAAATTTGGGTCAGCTGTTCAATGACGGTTATGAAGTAAAATTCCTATGCTACTTTAAATTTTTTAATATGAAGTGTAGTGGTGGAAGAGTTACTTAAAATGAAAAATACTTAATTAAAAGCAATCGAGAATCATTTCGTAACCACTAGAAAATATTTCTTACTAAGCGGAGCACAAGTTGACATCGCTGTAAAACAGTAGTTGCTAAACGTTTAAAAGCATACAGTTTTACATTTCCAGCGGTTTGCAACATGTGTTGAATTAGAGTTGCCAGATGGGTTGCACTGCACCGGAAAGTGTTATCTGTAAAGCTAAGAATTTTTGAAATCTGAAAACAATGCAAAATGCTTACTTCTCGCAAATCAGTTTTTTCCCGACCCGGACGAGAAACTGAAATTTGAACTCACAGTTCCAGAAGTAAGGATGCCTGGAAATAATAAATAATTATTATAGTGCTGAATTGAAACAAGATATGGCAAACGAGGGAATGCATATTTCAAAGGATCGTCAGATAAAATGATACCGCCCACTTTTTCTAAACTGGATGTTCGGTATTATTAAAATTGTCACCTTCATGGTTTTTATCTACCACTGAAAAAAATAATTTTCGGCAAGAGCAAAAGTTGTCGTGCATGCCCATGACCTGTCGTATATTTGTTGAAATTATTATAGTGGACGCAATTCTCTTTTTCTAATTAAATGAAATATATCTACATTACCTTTGCTACCACAAAGACAAATATTTTTATTAAATACGGAAAATACGGATATTCCTTAGCAAGTTAAGATATATATATATATATATANAAAATGCAAAAATAAAATACATAATCTAAATGGAATAAAAAGTATTAACAACAATGCTAATATATATATATATATATATATATTTGGCTCTCGCTATAACGACCTCCGTCTTTCGGACGTAAACAGACACTTATATCGTAATATTGTTGAAACGTGAGAGCGCAAAAATATATAAACTCTTACTCATAGATAAAGAACGAAAAATACTAAACTAGTTGTAATATCAATATATGTTACTTTAACAGGAATCAGGTAATAAAAAATGATTGATAATCACGCAATTTTTTTTCTTCAATGATTGCATGTACACGCTTTGAAATAATATTTTACAGGAGAGGAATGAATTCGAAAGAATATGGTAGATCGAGGCAGCGGATTGTGTTAAATAACATTTGTGTAGATAACTGCAAAGACCACATGTTTCAACTTTAAAATAAATCAACCTAAAAAAAAAGGCGTCTAACATTTAATTAAAAGAAGTGAATAAAACTTTCCAACAAGGAAAACATGATTGATAAATGCATTGTTTCCTTCGAAACGAAATTTATACACATGAATGGATACATAATTTTATCACCATGACGATACAACATTTTAATTACAATAGAGAATAATCCCCCCCCCCCTTCTGCTTTCTGTTGCATACATTGTTTTCTGCTTAACGGGGATAGAGCAAAGATATTTTCGCGCTGTTGATTTCAAATCTACAATCGGTATCCCTCCACTAGCTACAGTTTTCAGGCAATTTTATGTTATAATTATATTCTTAACCAGGTTTTATTTTAGTTCAAGGGAGTAAATACTAAGTGTCCCCTCTTCTCTGCTTCGTAGGAACTGGTAGGAAGATAGTGATAATACATTTCAGTTTATGACAAGAGGAGTTTTTTTTTTTGTCTTTAAATGTTTTTAAAGGAGCAGACAAGTGCCTATGAATGCGTTAGGTCTACCGGAAAGTCAGAAAGAAAATTAATAGTCAGAATAAAGACAGTTTTATTGTTAATTTTAAAATAATTGGACTTAAAAAAATTTAAGTAGAATATTTTTAAAAAAAATAATGACTATGAATTAAAAAAATTTTTTTTATTTATTTTAAAAAATCAAAAAGTTTTAAACATTTTTTTTATTAAAACAAATTTTATTTTAACTTAGGTGAACTATTTCAAAAGCTAAATTTAACGTTAACTTTAAATTATAATTTAATTTATTTATTAAAGCTTTTCGACTCGATCTGGTTTTAAGTGAGGTACCTGCCCTCGCTAGTGGCACTAAATCTATAATTCGTCAAAGGACAACTGTAATTAGTGGCATAGATATTTGGAGGAAATTAAAGCAGTTGGCGGCTGGAGAAGCATGTACGGCTGAAGTAATGATATTAATTAAAGATATTACGTTGGATAATTATATAAGAAAGTTAATAAATACTAGTGGGCTGCGCCCCCTGCTCGCTAACGCTTGCCAACCCCCGAAAATTGCTACGCAATGTTATATGGTTTGATCCGCAAACCAAGCTCGCTTCGCTCGCTACTAACTTAGGTACATTGCAAATGCACAAAATTCTAAGAATTCAAAACAATCATTCAAATCCATATAACAACTTTTTTTTCTAAAAAAAATTACATCTTTTTAGTAAGTACTGAGTCCTTAAAATAAATTTGAATTCAAATAAATGACATGTAATTCGTTAAATCTATTAGAAATGTGCTATAGTATAAAATCTTAAGATAAAATTTCTAAAA